TGAAGCAATGACGCAGCTTTCTGAAGAGCCCAATTAAACATGAGGAGTAGCTTAGCTACTGGGGGCAACTTGTTCGATATCTGATTTAATTTTTTTTTTTTTTTTAATTTACGGGAACTTGGTATTGAGCGAGGGCCCGCAGGCACAAAGTGCTGAGAAAGGACGCAGAGGGGATGTCAGAGTGCCGAGCCAGTGGGAGCTCTGCACCCCGAACTCCGCCGCGGCTCTGCGGCTTCCCTGAGCACATCTGAGGGGCAATGAACCGTAGAGAGGTGGCCGTGACCTTGGTTTCCGCATAGCTTTCGAGATAAAAGGTCTAAGTATCAGAGTGCATTTGCTGGACTACAGCGTTGTTGACTGACTGAAACAATCGTGCCCCCAGACCTCCTGTGGGATGCTGATTGGGCTGGCGGGTGCCCTGTGCAGAGTGGGTGCTGGGCGCACCTCTCCAGAAGGGTCTTTCTGGCCAAAACGGATTTAGAAAACGTGGTTTAGATCTCAAGGCTTAAGTGAGAATCGTTGCTTCCTATGCCTCCAATCAAGACAGCCGGTGGCGGAGGCGCCCCTCAGTGGCCAGCAGAGGTGTGAAGCGAGAAGGGGGCGTGGCCAGCGCGGCTGGAGGCCGCAGGCCCTGTGCGAACCCGGGCAGAAGGGAAGACGAGTGCCCTGCTTTGGAGCTGGTCTTCCAGCAAGCCTGCCCTATCCCACCTGTGAAATGTGGCGCAGTGAATGTCTGGCCTCTGGCCAGAGGGGTAGACAGCTCCTCTGTCTCAGAGCCAGGGAGGGAACTGAGCATCCTCACTTCCGTAGATCCCTTGCAAAATGTGGAGGCTTTAAACCAGAGCTGCTGGATTTAATAAACAGAAATATAGGACACGCAGCTAAACTTGAATTTCAGATAGGTCAGGAATCATTTTTATAATAATGTCACATGTAATATTTGGGACATGATTATACTAAAATATTATTTGTTGCTTATTTAAAATTCAAAAATAACAAATGAACTGGGCATTCTGTATTTTATCTGGAAACCCTATTTCCAGCAGTTTTTTAAGATGAGTTTCGTGATAGTTCATTGAGACTCATAGAATGGGTTTTGCAGTCTTGGCCTTACCACACCATGGGCTGGCTGCTTCCTGGATGCAGAGGTTATCCCTGTGTTGAGAGATAGTTTGTTGCATTCCTGGCTTCCACTCACTGCATGCCCAAAGCACCTGTCCTCTCTCTACTGTGACAACCAAATATGTTTTAGGACATGTCCCCAGGGTAAGGCAAAATCCCCTCTCATTGGCAAGCACGGCTTTAGAGGTAGTGGCAAAAGCAGGACTGTGAAGCCTGTCGTGATGGTAGACCAGAAGGTGGCCCTCTTATCCAAATGTAACACAGGTCCTGGGCCACCTGCTTTCCCACCTCTGCACCTTCTGGTTCCTTCCCGGTAATGTCAGGAGCTGTCTAGACCTATGTAGAGGAGCCCAATAACACAATTTTAATCCCATGTGGATTATAATCACTGGAGAGTCATTTCTCTTTTCACTTTGCCTTCCTAAAGAGCTCACATGAGGCAACTGTTCATATGTAACTCAGACATTTTCTGCAAAGAACACCCAACATACTATTCAACCAAGTACTTGCTTTCATCAGAGGTCATCCGTGTCAGTAACCTGGGTGAATTTAGCATGCAATGGGCAAAACTCCCCTGGTCAAACCACCTTACTAAAGTATACATGTTGTCCTTTTGCTCCATTTTGCAGAGGAGAAACTAGGAGGCACTGGATAATGAATTCTTTTCTTCTAGCATTGCACCTACACAGTTATCCTTGAAAAAATGCCAACACGCCTGTATGTGGTATTTCCTGTTTGAAAAGTTTCTCTGCCTCAATATGTTTCTGTACTCCCTTGGAGAAAACTAATGTGGCTTTTGCTTTATTAACCTTGATTGTCGGCATCGATAATTAGTTCTGTAGGCCGATCAGCTTATGTGGTGGGAACATTTTATTAGCAACTTAAATGTAACCAGTTTCTTCACTTCACTCCATATTTTGTAGGCTTTTAGAAAAGCAACGGTTTTATCAAAATCCATTGAGCAAAGCAAAGACAATGTACCTATCTGGTTATATTGCTGTGGGAAAAATCTCTGTTCTCAGTTCTCTATAAAGATTGTGTCTTCTCAAATCTCTCTTATCTAGTGTTCGTCCTTAAATAGGAACACTCTTTCCCTAAGAAACCCACCTTAAAGAATAGCATTATCTTTATTTGGAATCACAGGCCTTCATCATTGCGGAAGAACTCTGATCCTTCTCAGACTCTGATATTTTACTTAATCAATAACCACATTTCCTTTTCATCTGTCTGTCTTACCTCTGCAATCGCGTTTTCCCAGCCGCGTATATTTTATTGTGTAAGAATTCAATTGAAAGAGCCATTCATGTTTGCAAAACGGATGATGTTTTATTATTGGTTATAAAGAAAAGAAATTTCACACTTTGTATAACCAGCCCTTTCTATATAGCACGGTGAATTCTGAAACTGGGGAACAAGTTAACAGACCATGGAAAGAGGCCGCAGAAAGATCTGGTAGTAGTCTGACCACGCCATAAAATAAGACCTGGTGATTTTTATGTCTCTAATTGACAAGCGCTTAATTCACATTTGAAATGCATAAGCTCTGTACAATTTGAGGGTATGTAGGCTAGAAAGAATAAGGAGACGATGGTCAAAATATTTAACAACAATGTGGCATGACCTGATCGAAGTCTCCAAGGAACATATTATTGGGGCAGGATCCCAAAGGCCTCCTGCAGGTCCAAGTGTTCTGCTTCTAATGACTAGACTATGGGGTGCTTGCAGAGGGATCAGGGGGGCGGGGGGCATGGGGCAAGCACTAAGGAGGTTTAGGGTAGCAACTGTTTATGAGCCAGTCTGGTGGTATTTTACTATTGGAACAATTGGAACAGCTGGGCCACGGTGTGCAAGCTAGCTGAAAAGTGAGCATCGCGGGGCAGAGTGTGGAGCTGGAAAATCAGGCTCCCAGCCACGTTCCGGACACTGCCATGTACCCACTGCATGGTCTTGGCTGCGTTATTTCTTTGGATCTCTCTTTTCTCTTATGAAAAATGAGAATATCGGATAAGAATGACCTTAGGTTCCCTTCCTGTTCTAAGAATCTGCTCCTCCCCTGCAATGATTTGCAAGTTCTAAGCATAGAGTATAGAATTGTTTCTGAGCTTCTGAAAAGCAGAGAGAGCGGTGTCGGGGGAGTGCAAGGCAGACCCTGCCCCGTGCTCTGTGAAGCCATGCCAGTCCCCCAGGACGGGAGCAGTGCCAACCCCCTGACTGTGCCGTCAGAAGCAAGACCAGAGCAGCTAAGTCGCTTTGTGCAGGCAGCCTGAATGTATCTTTTAGAGATTAATAGTTTTCAGTGTTTGGAGGAATGTACCACAGAGTAGAAAATATATTACTTTACTACAGAAACCAAATAAATGTTGCTTTTGCTTGAAATTACCTAAGTCAAGCAAAAGCAGGTACTTTGAAATTTTTTGCTGTTTGCCTAGATTGCAAAAAGTTCCCTCAACTCTCTACTTCACCGTTTTGTTCTTTGCTTGGTAATTGGTATATATTGTGCTTTTTTATATTCAACGAGTGAGTTGCAGTATCTCCATGGGAACATATAAGCACACATTAATGAGCAATGTCATTGCCTACAGAAAGTAAGAAGAGTCCAACATAACTTCAACCTAGATGTGTTTTCCATCCAAATTGTTTGTTTTAATTTGGTTAAGTGGAAAATTAACTTCTAATTTATATAAAAGTTTTTTTAAATATTTTTATTGAGAGAGAGAGAGAAGCATCAATGTGAGAGGGAGACATCCCCTTTCTGCCTCCTACACGCTCCCTACAGGGGATCAAACCCACAACAGTTGCACGTGCCCTGACCAGGAATCAAACCAGCTACCTTTCGGTGCACAGGACGACACCCAACCAACTGAGCCACACTGACCAGGGCTAGATAAAATCTTTTTAAAAAATGTATAGGTATGAGGAAGTGCCCAACATAATTATTTATTCCTCTAATTGCAGAAGAACATACGGTGGCTCCTAAGGCACATGCTACGTCAGGAAAGCAGGGCTGAACAGGAACCCGAGCACGCATTCCGTGGCGTGAGGCCACCAGTGACGGTTCAGCAGAGTTGATTCTGTTTTAATATCCTGTGGCTTATTGTACCTGACACACAGAAACGAGGAAAGTGAAGAATTGATTATTGGGCTTGTTTTCTTGAAACTTGCCTGTAATTCCCATTTATGCTCGTTCGAGAAGGAAGACCCTTTCCACAACACACTGAGAATATGCACAACCTGTTACGACAATGTCATAGACATACAGTGACATGGTGCAGTTATAGTATTCCCTCAAAGTACATCATACTCAAAATTCACTGGAGATATCTTAAAGACATCTGTTGTAATTATAGGAACATGCTTTCTAATGTATTTAATTCCCTTTCCTACCTAAATTGTATATATAAGTGAATTTTAAGAGACTGTATAAATAAATTTTTAATTACAAAATGATGTTATACAATACATTATTAATAATAACCAACAATGCATAATGTTTATGCATGAGTCCATTAGAAAGACAAGCTAATATATGTCAATTATAAAGAATGCACTAATTTGTCCTGAATCTGTGAATGAAGTTGAATTCATGCGGCAAGCCAATGAGTGCAATAACATGGAGTGTACCTATGGAATTTAAGAAGTATTTAGGATTCGTTCATCACATGTGATTGAGATCTTATTTTTCAGCCAGCCATGCGGTTGTGAAATTTGGAATAAGACTACTGAGTGGACAATACTAGCTTTCCCAGACAGGTGCAGAATAAAATAGTCCATAGCATTCAAGAAATGTACACAGTCCTTCCATTCCAGCCCGGGGAAATGTCTTCCTGTGGTGGGAATTCCCTGTGCCGCCACGGCTCTGGGAACAGGGAAAGTTTGTGCTAGCGGTAACAGATTTCTGAAATCTCCATGGCCAGCTCCAGACACTCGCCAGTCTCGTGGCAGGATTCAAAAAGGCTGCAGTCCATGTCACAGTTGCAGTTGCAGTCATTCCGAGAGTGGCTTTCGTCCGAGGCGTGGCGGTACCTGTGAGAGGGGCAGCACAGGTTGGTACACACCGTTTCGCACGTACCAGGGAGCATCAGGAGACAATCCCAAAACTGGCAAAACAGACAGGTGAGGATAAGGGAGGCACACGCCTCTGTTTAAAGAAGAAGAAAGAAAATTAATAGTGCACACATGGCGGCGTCTGTGAAGGGCAGGCACGTGCGGTGTACGGGCTGCTTCACCACCCACTCTGTCCACACGAGGCGCCATGCACACAGGTCCTCCAAGCTCTCCCACCCGGCGCACCTCCTCCACTGAAGTAATGGCTTTATTAACTTCCTGAGCATCTCCTATCGATTCCACATAATCAGGTTATTTAAAGTGCTGTCACTTTCCTAAACTCCTTTATTTACTTGGCCTGCAGAGGCGCCGAAGCCACGCGGCTGCACACTTGCCACTGTAGAAAAAACAGCAGCCCCCGCCCCCGCCCCGCAGGAATTGTTCAGCAGTTAGAGTTGGGATCAAGGAAAGACCACAAGTTTCTGGATTCTCATACACGATTTTCTTATTTGTCTGATGTGGATTCCCATAAATTTGCCACACCCATATTCAAATGCAAGGGAAAAGCACATTTCAAAACCTAACATCTATAATTTTTAACTAATCACAGGTTTTTAATGGTGGTATTCTATTTTTAATCCTTGTCTCCTTTTTACTCCAGTTATATAAAGCGTTGGGTTTATATTCGTGTTAGAAGAATATGTTATTATATTCCAAAAAGGGCATAAATCTGATCAATCCTTTTTAAGAAAATTGGTTTAAAAATTTACTATGCAGACTTGTAAAAATCTGAAAAGTATCTCTAAAGCCTTGAAGGTAATTGGTAATTCTAGCCAAACAGCTGTGATGGGTTATAGATTATTATGTTTTTTGTTTTCATTAAGGGAATTAGTTAGAAGATGTAGCAGTTCTCTTGTTAAAATTATAACTTTTCTTTTTAGTGAAAAGCATCCCCAAAACATGTGAGGGTTTTGTAAAACATACTTCAGTGTGTGCCCGACATCCTCTTAATTAAAATCAGCATCCTGAAAATTGCTGACCGTGGAAAGTAACATGCTAGCATGAATCGGAGAAAGATCTCCCACTCCTGATGGCGCACCAAGCATTCAAGCCAGACTCGCACAGGGTTGGTTCCCAGGAAGAGCGCTCTGGGCGTGTCTCCCAGACCTGGGCTGACCACGCGCGGGCGGGGAGCTGCGAGCCCCTGCCCAGGCCACGCCTTCTTAGAGCCCATCGTTGAATTTTAATACATTTTCCAGAAAAGGTTTCATTTTGTTGTTCATATACTTGTTAATCATTAAGAGAGAAGGAAGAACATGGAAACTTCCTCTGAAAGGAACAAGTTTTAAAGAAAGCCATCACATGTCTTTGAAAAGCACTACAGAAGCTGCCTGAGTGTCTGAGTCGTGCCTGGGGATAAACAGGCCCCTTCCTTCCTGCCTCTGCCCTCTCCCGGCCCGGCCCCTCCGTTCTTCCCGGTGAAGCGCTGGTCAAGCGCCGCGGTGACGTCCATGCGGCTTCAGGTGCCACATGTTGTTGCAGGTGCTGCGGGCATTACTCAGTATTTGCGGTGCGCAGCAGTTTCCATGATACCTCTGTGGTGCGCATTCCCATCTGCCAGACTGGGGTATTTTTATTCACTGAGAGTCAGTTTCCAGCATGTGGCTAACTCACCCATATCTCATAGGTCACCACAAACCACCCACAAAAATTCAGGGGTTAGTCAGTACAGTACATAGACTATTTGCGTATGCATTTCTGAACAGGGCTTGTTGGCGGTCAAAGATCTGGGCATAAAACCTCCAGTTTCACCCATGCCAAGACTGCCTGTACAGCAGCCCCTGGCAAAGAACAGGTGCTCAGCAGAAAATATTCCCAGGCTGCAGGCTCAAGAGCCTTGTTCAGGGCATGACCATGTAAAAGGGACCACTAGGCCCTGTCCTCTGCAGAGGAGACACCCAAAGTTTGGTTTGAGGGAGAGCTGGACTGGGTGCAGGCTGACGTGTCAGGAGAGGAGCGAGTGTTTCCTATCAAAGGATGAAGGCTTGTTTGTGACATGGCCTTATAATTTCCTGAGGGCATGTAACCTGTCTGTTCCATCCCAGGTGCCAAGGTCTCTGCAGGCTGGCGGATGCTGGGGGTTTCTGCTTCCGATGTCTACCATAGATTTTATTTACGAAAAACAAACAAATAGTTTTGCCCAATTTTTTGGCCAAATTTTCATTTGTTTCCTCCCATCTTCTATTCTGCGCTTGGAACCAGAGCCCGTCTGTTCGGAGGCAGTCCTGTTCCCTTGGTACAGAGGCAGGGCCCTCCCCAAATCAGGGCAACATTAATGAATTGAAAACTAATCTTTCCCAGCACTCAAGTGTGTCCCACACTTTCCCTACAAGGCCTATTAAATAATTCTACACAAGCAGGCTAAACTGTTTTGCATACAGTCAATTTTTGGGGGGGGGGAACAAAAGTAACATGAGCAGTTCAGGGGAAATTTTACAACTGTTTGGAAACAACCAGACTTTCCTTTCTCCTGATGGATATATTTTATTTGCTACACTACTCATTGGGGCTTTAATGCTTAATAAGCATGATATTCAAAGTCATAGTCCACGATTATCACCCCTTCTCTCAGCCCATCCAAAGCAGGCTGCTGGGTCGCAGAGGCCTACTTCGCATCTCTTGTGCAGTCTCTTCAAAACATCTCACACTTACCAAGGCCAATCGGCACCACAGGTCGCCCTCTCTGCCAGGCCACAAACCAGTCCCTCCTCCGGGGTTTTCTGGTGCATGGCTCCTGAGCACACAAATGAATTCTCAAGAAACCTGGGACTTCTTTTAGCAACTTTCCTCTTCCTCATCAGATTCTCCCATCAGATTCTTTGCGGAGTCCTGCTGATTCTATCTCAAGTTTTTATTGGAAACCCACAGCCCCAACCCACATGCTCAGTTGTAGCTCCATCAGCTATCATCCCTCCCGGCAACAGCAAGAGCCTCCTGTCAAGGACGCTGCTTCCGCAAGAGCCCGCCGTAAATTCATCAGCTACTACGATATGTTGAGTCATAAGTTAGAACAACTCACTTTCTCTAAGTCCGAAATCCTCGCCTCGTCTGCAAGCCCCTGCGTGACCAGGGTCCCGCCTGTTCCCGTCTCCAGGCCTCCCCTGCTGGCTCGCGCACTTCAGCCCACGGGCTGGGTTCCAGTTCCTGGGATGCAGCTAGCAGGGCCTTTCTCACGCCCTGCCTCTGGCCCCTGTCGCACACTACCCCCTAACTCCCACTCCACCTTTAAGTCTTAGTTTAAAACACCTTCCCTGTAAATCACATCCTTGCTGAAACTCTCAAAGCACCCTGATTTATTTTTTTTTCTTCACAGCATCAACCACAGTGGTATTAAACGAATTGTTTGTTAATTAGTTTCTCCCCCCTTGCGTCCCATGGGGCAGTGGTGGGACGTGGGCAGGCGGGAGAGAGGCCGGCGCGCGGCTCCTCCGCTCTGCGCCGGGCACGGTCCTCCCCGCGGCCTGCTGGGTGCCGCGCGCCCCTCTGCGCTCTGTGACGGCGCGTCCCAGCGCTCTGTGTGGTACCGTAAGCTGCGGGTGGCCCCGAGGGACCCAGGGACAGGAGGCCAAGCTTTCTCGGTGCGAAGGCTGGGTCTTCGGGCCGCCTGGCGCTGCCTTTACCTGGCTTTCTCCTCTCCTAGCGCCACGCCCGCCCTGTCCTCACGTCCCTCCGTGGAACCACCTGGGGTCCTGGCGACGCTCATATCACCGCTGTTCGAGTCCGTCTCGCACCCCTGCTTCCTGCCTTTTCAAACCCGGATTAAAGACGTCTTAAGGAGAATCCAAGGCAGCAGACACACGGCCAATGCTGCTGTTTAGCTGTGAGAAAGGCGCCACGGCACCCTCTTAGGGTTGTGACATTTCCTTTTCCACCCCGAGGGGACCTTCTGAGCACCAGGGTTAGTGGTACCGGAGAGCGGGGGAAGAAGGCTGCCCACACAGTGCCACCCGCAGAGTTGGCACCGGCTAACTGGGGGGAGAGGCGGCCCCCTCACAAGAATCGTGTTTCACGAGAGTGGAAAGGGTCCCAATACAAGGAGTCTCCACCGTGGGCACGTCCTGCCCTCCCAGCTCTCAGCCTGGCACCGCGGACCAGAGGCACCTTTAGCTCCCAGCTGTGCCCCGGCAACTCCACAAAGCACCACTGCTGCTTTGAGGATCATTATCCAAAGTAGCAAGAATGTGCTTCTTCCAGGAGTGATTCCCAGTAAACAACCATCATCCGTCTTCTCCCCCAAAACAAAGTCAGAAAAAAGGCAAGAGAGCCAGGTTCAGATCCCGTGTTCTAACACATTAATAGTTAAGTGTGCTAGCAGAGAGAATGTGGCATGATAATGAGAATGTCAAATTCAACATGACACAATGTCTCTGAGTATTAAAGTTTTTGCACAAAAAGTATAAAAATTGGTTTTCACTCCTCCCAAATGAAATTAGTGTGTGTGTGTGTGTGTGTGTGTGTGTGTTTAATGTCTGTAATGTAGAATGTGAATAAATAAGTATGACTGAATACCTTTTTCTAGCTGGGGTATCATTCTTGATGTTATCAAGTTTAATAGCTACTTAAATATGTCAAGATCTATTTAAGTTCAGACAAGCACAACTAACATTCAAGTCAGTTCTTTAGAACTATAATGACTAGATTTGGGTGATACTTAGTAAATTTGTGCTTATGTTTTTTTCTGAGCAAATGAACTGAAATAATTATAAAATTGAAACATTTTATAAGGTGAGACTATTGCATTTAATTGTCTGAAATTTACTGTGGAGAAAATGTAATCATTTTATTCAGTAGTCCATGGTGTAATTAAGACTATTCTTTTAAGGTATCTTGTATTTATGATTTTCTCTTCCACCTGGATGAGACATCTCAAATTCAAAATTACACATCAATTAGGTGTATTCTCAGGATTCGTTGTGAGGAGCCTGTTTCTAACATGAGCCCTGCTTTGCTTATCCACAGGGACGCTTCTGCAGTCCAAACTAGAAAAGAGGCAGAGACACAGACAGTGGTCTGGACTTTTCCCATTTTATGTGGGAAAAGGGGCCACACAGGTTGAGCCATGATTTAATACCAAGTGATGCGCAGTGAGATCCTCCGAAACCCCATCAGAGCACACACCATGAACTGTGCTAATGGATGGAGCACATGGCACAATACCTGCATGTGTGAGCTGTTCCATCTTGTTTTAAGTGGGCGAGGTATATAAATAATAGATATTAGCAATTAAGCATCCATTCCTATGCACTCACTTATACATTTGAAAATAAATTAACCACAAACTACATGGAAGTGGATGCAATCTTCTTTTCCCTTCTGTTTCCCCGGCTGCTTCTGAAGGATATTTCTGTGTTTATCTCAGTATGACAATGACCCCAGCTCTCAATTTCTACATCCTTAAATTAATTACTAGGAAAAATTCTCTAAATGAAGTGAGTCTGACTTAACACTTGGTTTCCTTGATGTTTGTTCTTTAGGGGAATGGGAGTTTTTTTTTGTTTTGTTTTGTTTTTAAGCACTAGTTTTGTGGACTTTGTCTGGGTTTCTGACCTCGATGAAGGCGTTTTTGCCACGTGGACATTAGCTGTGATCAGCCTGAAACCAGAATGTCCTGGATCACACTGGCTCGAGCCCAGGCCATAAGAAAGCAACCTGGTCAACATCCTCACCATTCTCCTCTATCTTTTAAAGGAGGAGCAGTTGTTTTCCCGCACCAGGGGCCTGTGTGTCAGTTGCTGATTTAATGAAGCACCATCTGGCCCTTCCCTGCAATCATAGGTGTCGGGTACCGCATCGGCCTTCTTATCCTCCCTGACCCTGCTGGAACAGGTCGAGTGGTCTGGGGCTTCGCTGTGTCCCACAGTGTGAGTGTACACAATGGCAAGTTCTGATCTGGGACACACAACCAAGGCCTGTTCTAAGATCCTCGCATCCCTGACACTATCTGATAGAACACTCCGGCGTCACAGAGAACTCTCCTGTATTGCCTGTTTGCTTGTGTGGCACCAAACTCTAAAAAAGCCAGAAACTTGGGCATCACCTTGGATTCACAGGCATAACCTGGCAGTCTGCAGGCCCAGAGCTGTTGGGGGTGTTTGAAGCTTTGTAAAAGAACTCAAACTATTGTCAACACCTACAGTTTTGGAGATTTCACATAACACTCTAAATCTGGCAGCTTGGGGCCTATGTTTCCTCTGGCAACAACTCGTGGGAGCTGAGGGAGGCAGTGTCTCCCCTGGCCCCGGTCCTCACCCAGCCTCCCTTCCTTCCAGCCTCCTCTCACTCACACTACCTCCTGGTGACCATAGGCAGTTTGGTCTGTAGCTTCTGGTCTAAAGCATCCATGATATTTGTACAAGACACTGCATCTATGACACGTGTTAAAAATCTCTTCCCTTACTTTCTAAAACTATGATAACCATAACAGCAAAAACTCAATATATAGCATGTGACCGGTTCTATACTGGTTGCTTTATATATGTTATTTCAGCTGATCTTCAAAAGGCGCTATGGATGTCACTAGAGATTGAGATTCAGAGATGGTAAAAAAACAGTTTTTTACAGTTAATAAATTTCAGAGCCAGGAGTTAAACTGATGTGATTCCAAAGTTCCTCTTACACAGACTTTATTTAAACATCTTTCTTATTTTTAGAAAGTAAATATGCATTTAAATACAAACCAGAAACTATACCCTACTGCATGTTCTCTTCAGAAACTCCTTCTAGCTTTCATTAAACACAAATGTAAATATTGAACACTACCAAATTCTAAAATGGTTTATGTCTCCTGTAAAGGTCACTGCACAGTTATCCTGAGTAAAATGTATGTCTTGGTGCAGGGTCCACGACTTTGAACTTGACTGTGCTGATCATTTAGCTCCACATCAATTTGAAATTGGCTTTGCAAACGGCATGTGCCCTTTTGTCCCACAGAGAGCCAGTTTGGTGCATGTGTGCACCGACAATGCTTAGGAGGTGGCATTACCTACAGGGACCAACCCTTTTTCACAGCTTGCTGATATAAGCATCTTGATATTTTATACAGTCTACTGTATACTTTTCCAGCATTTCAATACCTTTCCACTCTGCCTTCTCCTCTCCACCTAAACAGCCCCAGATCTGAGAAAAGAAAGTTTGCCATTTCCCTACCACTTCACAACCCCACAGCAAGAATGACTGCAGCTCACCCCAGCTCTTCAAAGCTGTTTGCTCGGATCCCCAGCTCCGAGAGCAAACAATCTGCCAAGCACCGCGTAATTGCTAAGTGACCTTGACATGTGTCATTCATCAGGGCTTTCAAATCAAAGCCTTCCTGTTTAATATTCATAAAGCCTTTTCCCCCTAACAGCATATGTGATGATTTTACAGGGGTTGGGGGTTGGGGAGCTTTATTTAGAGATGGGTTGATTCTGAGAAACATACCATCAGTGTCTCTCTGATGAACTGAAGAATCGGTTTGGAGGTAAGAAAATTTCTTTTGACATTCTTCAAGGGAGGACAGCGATGTGGTGGATTCTGACAGGTTTTTCTCCATGGAAGTCTCCTTAGCTGGTCCATCTGTGGCATTGAATTCAGAGACTGAATTTATAACGATAGCATTAATGGGTCTCTCTTCTGCGTGTTTTTCATTTGTGAGTTGCATATCTAGATGAAAAAAGAAAAACACATACAAAAACCCACTGTAGTTGACTCAATCTAGTGATCTGCAGAAAAATCACATTCTAGACTTTTATAAGAATAAAGTGTTTTAAAAAAGAATTGGTAGTTACAAAATAGTCACAGGGATACGAAGTACAGAGTAGGGAACATAGTCAATAACATTGTAATAACTACCTATGTTGCCAAGTGGGTACTGGAGATATTGCGTGACCACTTTGCAAAGTACACGGTTGTTTGACCACTATGCTGTACACCCGAAACTTATATAAATTATATTCAATGTAAACTAGAACTGGAAAAATAAAAACAACAACAAAAAAGAATGAAGCATTTTTGAGCAGGACATTTTTAATAAAAGTACAAATAAAAATAAAGGAGTGCAATAATTATAAGAATTTATACACATTGCAAGTCTTAGCTATCAGTAATTTGTAACACTTTCTCCTACATATATATTTTTAATGATGGGTAGAAAGAACAAGGAATTCATTTATGTGGATCAACGAAAGCTTGCAGTGTGTCATCAGCTTCCTGTCATCACATCCATGGGCCTGAGAAGTAGGCGAAGGGTCTTCAGTGCTGAGCAGCGCTGCTCAGTGATAGCATGTGATCTCAGTTAAGTTGTTTTATTTCTTTGTTTCTGCAAACCCTGTAAGGATAGTGGTTATAAAGCAACAGTCTACAAGCTCGTTTCTACTTCTGCCCTCACACGCGCTGAGTTGTGACCCTTTCCTTTGCTGATTGTCAGGTCCCTGCTCAGGTGTAGTCTACATGGCTAGTTTGTGGGGTCCTTCTTGATATTTCCATGTAATCGCCTGGCACAGTCATTAGAGATGTTCGGAGAACCTTCAGCAAAGTCCTTGATTAAGATTGTGGTTTGCAGAGGCACAGAGAAGGCCGAGAAGGCCCAGGTGCTTCACGAGTTTAAACTCCCTTATTTGTTGCTCATTCCCATATACTGGGTGAGGGTCTGCAATGTAATAATCAGTGGTCTGGGAACTGGGGATACAGTGGTGACTAAGACAGGCTTTCACAAGCATCAGACAAGTTTGAAAAAACAACTGTCTAAGTTACAGTACTGAGGAGAGTATGAGAAAGAAGCGCATCCTGATGCCACATTATAGAGAGAACCAGACCGGGGAGTGGTGCACTTAATTTATTACTCATCTGTACTCATTGAACAGAAGACTCCTGAGATCAAGAAAGGAGTTAACATGATATTCTCCAACATGTGGCCAGGCTGACTCCTGGGGACATCTTGAGAGCTCGGCGAGCACTGGTCCCAGCGATTTGGGAGTATTTGAGGTGTAGTGAAGATGCATTCTGGAGAATCACATTTCCTTGGCTGGCCCAATGCCTGCTTGATTCAGTAATGCTCATTGAGTGACTGAAATAAATCACACAGTTGGCACTTGGGCTTGATTTTACCATGCTCACCAGCTCAGTGAAAGAAATACATGCTTGCCAAGTCCATGTTCATCGTTCTTTCAAAAGCTACTTCTTAGTTTGGGGCAGATGGAATTCACTACTTGGTCCTACCTCCCAGGGCTGTGATTCTCAAACTTGTCTTCAGAGTAAATCACCTGGGAGGCCCTTTAAAAATTTGGAATTTTTTTAAAGCTCAGGCAACCCCCTTCCACCCTCCCCACCCAACAGATTGGATCCCAGTCCCTGGAAGATTTTTGCAGCTCCCCAGGTGATTCCAGGATGCAGACAAGTTTGGGAACTGCTGCCACAGAGGCTCTCTGCCTTTGAGAGTGGGGAAAGGGGAAAGAACACCCATGGGTCCGCGTGAGTGATGCTCAGAAACCGTTATGAGCAAATTGCTCCCAAGGCTCCCGACCGGCACAGCAGCTCCCAGTGTGGTGCACACAATGGTCTGAGGCCATTTTCTGTTGTTTCTGAGCCTCCAAACAGCCTTGGCTTTCAACAATGTTTAATTTTTATTCCCTACCCCTTATGCTGCTGGCTTTATATCTTTTAGTTGCAGTTTGCTTCATCCTAAAAAGGATTGGCAGAAATAAGCGTCCAGAAAAACAACTATTGTTGATAGTAATTACTGTAATATTGAATAGATGGAATTAGCTCAACAGATTGGGAACCTCTTGGCTTCCTCTAGCCCAAGAAAGATTCACCAAATTAAAGATATAATAATGATGATGATAAAAATATATATTTTTTTACCTGGGTACCAAAGTGTCCAGTTACCAGCTAATATCACAAACAGCCATTTAAACTATGCCCTAGAGCACTTAGAGTAGTGTTGATATTTTGGGCCAGGTAACTGTTCATCATGGGGAGACTGTAGGAAGTTCAGCAGCATCGCTGTCCTCTTCCTACTAGATGCCAGTAGCACCCATCACCCTAGACTGTGACAAACAAAATGTCTCTAGATATTGCCAAATTTTCCCTATGGGGAAAATCCCCCAAGTTGAAAACCAAATCACTGCTTACACACACACACACACACACACACACACACAATTGCATGCGTTTACTCCAAGCTCTCTGTTATGATTGATGCAGGGGGGAGCAAAAGTAGGTTTACAGTTGTATATGAAACAGTTTATTCTTATATTGTTATTAATTATTGTATTATTTTCCATACTCACAACTGTAAACCTACTTTTGCTCCACCCTGTATACCTTCCTTAACAAAACCTCTAGGAGGTAGATACTGTCAGCCTCCCCGGACAGATGGGGAATGTATGAACTGGTGTCTTAAGGGATGAATGAGTGTGGCCAAGGCTTAGATGGTTTATAAGTTGCCCAAAGATTCTTCTTTATCAATGGTGGAACTGGGATTTGAACCCAGGTCTGGTGGATTCCAAAAGTTTTGCTCTGATTGGTTTGTGGCTTTTGTCTCTGCTTCCTAGCTGTAAAGGCTGCACATCAGCAAAACCCTCCTGACCCTCCTCCGATGATGTGTCACGGACCCGAATGAAGCCTTGAAGCCGGCCTCACCGCCCCGCCTCTCCGGGAGCAGCCTTAGCAAAGCCAGACCACTTCTCCATCCGGGGCCCTGCCCGGCAGGTGCGGGGCTTTCTGCGGCCGCGCAGCTCAGGAGCTGAGATCAGAAACGATAAGTATGGAGATTGCGGCAGCTCTTTACTTACAGAATTAATTAACAATCAGTTCAAATTATCACGTGTAGTCAGGCTGCATGGAATTCAAATTGCTTTCGCACAAAGTAATTCAGTAACAAAAAAAAGTTGGATAGAGGTTACTGAAATATAAGAACATGCAGAGAATACGATATATAGCCAAGTGGTACATGATTCTCTTTTTAATTTTGTGACAATTTTAAGTATAGCATTTGAATCTGAGTGTGCTACATTAAGCAACCATTTGGAGATACTGGGCTTGTACTGAGAGAATTTTGTGGAGAACTTAAACTGCCATTCATAAAGTTATTTTAATTCTATATCTCTGTTTATATTTTTATTTTTTTCACTCCCTAGTGGGAACTATCTGTTGCTCATTAGAAAATCATCCGACATGCACACGTTTCCGAACCCAGTCTGTTCAGCCCAGAATCCTGACATCTGAAGTGAGTCACAATTTCTGCGTGAATGTCACTGACATCTTCCGTCTTTTTTAGATGAAATGCTACAATAATTTCCCCAGATTTTGTTTTTTTATGATGTTATTTGACATTGTACCCAAAGTATTATAAAGTAGCATAAGCTAAAAGGAGAAACACATAAAAATGTGGTATCACATCTTCTGCAGAAAAAATTATTTTGGATTTAAACAAGGAACATGTGAAACTATATTTGGGATGTTATAGATCGACCTTGAAATTAACATAGGGAAATAATTTTTTTCAACTAAAAAAAACCAAATTTAGGACAAAAATTAGAAGCTCAACTGTACTTCTTAGAGAAAAGAAATGAAGTGTATCTTAAAAGTCAGTGAAGTAGAAAATTCATGTTTGGGCTAGAAGTAATTTCAGAACCAATGGGCATACACTAAAATATCAGAAAAGATAGACAGTTAATTAATTTTTTATTACCATTGAGCAAATGCTGTTAATTTAATTCAATTAACATTTATTGAGTAGGCACATGCAATAGATGAATCAATGTGACAGGAATGATTAATTTATTTACTTTAAGTTATTAAGGAAACATTTTAATGATTTTTAGTTTTTGCTCTCTAAATGTGACTTTTTAATTTTTGCATCCATGTGATCACTGAGTGTATATATCTACACACACACACACACACACACACACACACATTCAAATTCAGACTAAGTAGCATCTCTCTTCCCCAGCTCCTCTGATTCTGTTCTTGTTTGTCCTTCCCTTCCCCTCCCCTTCTCCTCTCTCTCTCTCTCTCTCTCTCTCTCTCTCTCTCTCTCTCAGTTTCATTCTTTGACTAACCTGCCTTGTCTCTGTTATTGATTGTTTTTTTCCCTCCAGCTCTTCAATATATTTATTTCTCAATACTTTGTCTCCTTAGTTTCTTCCTTTGTACCCTACCCTTGAAGATTGTTATTTGTCCACACTCACAACTTAACCATTTCTTTGTAAAGTAGCCGGAGTCTCTGTGCAGTCAGCCGGCTGGTAGCCAGGCCCCATTTGGGGAGCATAATCTGTGCTGGCCCGGTGCTCAGTGCTGAGAATCTGGACAGTAACAATAGGCGTGGTCCTCAGGCCCACAGTCAGGACAGGTTGCAGTCTCAAACTTATAACTGACTATTGCATATTTTATTTGACTTACTAGCCAAACCCTTACAGTGATTATATCTCACTCTACTAAGCCCCTCATGCTTTTTCCCAAACTAAGTAGCTTTCATTTCCTAACCTTAAAAATACTCTTTGATTTGCCTCATCCCTCTCCTGGTATTGTTACTGTCCAGGAATTTACAAATTCTTATTTATCCTTCCCACAAGTCCATCTCTGCTTTTTCATTCCCAAAACTACCATTCAGTTTTAATCAGCTGTGTTCTCAAATCAGCTATGTTCTCAAATCTGGA